CGATGACGAGTGATGAAGTGACTCTGAACTCCCGCAGGATCTTCATCACATCTTCTACATGGAGCACAGCACCGCCGCCCTGCTGGACGTGGAGGGAACTGCCATCAGTGGCTCAGGGAAAGCCGAGGGATCGAGCGCCGACAGCAGGAGCGGCATCAGAACCATCTGCATCAGTCCAGACGGGACACACCTGGCCTCCGGAGACAGAAAGGGCACACTCAGGTACAGATGATCATGTGTCAAACTGTCATGAAAATACTCAGTGCAAAAAAAATATCATTACATAAAAAAATGTAGTCATTTTATTATTTATTTATTTCATTATTGTTAAAATTCTGTTTATTTGCGTAAATTTCTTTTTTATTTACAATAATTTATTTTAATTTTACATTTAGATTTTTGTTTACTTTTATATCTATTTAATTAATTTATTTTTACTTTTTCATATTTATTTTTAATTAATTATTTACTTTATTTGTTATTTTATCAGTGAGTGTGTGTTGGACAGGTGTGAATCTGCTGGCCACTGCGAGTCGAGATCGTCTGATCCATGTACTGGACGCTGAGGAAGACTACGGTCTGCTGCAGACTCTGGACGAGCACTCGTCCTCCATCACGTCTGTCCGCTTCGCTGGTCAGAGCTCATTGTTCCCTGTTATTATGATATAATATACACAAGCAGACGTGCAGTGGGTGTTGATCTCTGTGATCTTGTGATTGTCCGTGATGTTTGGATCAGCCGCCGGTGACGGGACGCTGCGGATCATCAGCTGTGGAGCGGATAAGAGCGTTTACATCCGCACCGCTCACAGGGTGAGTCCCGAGAAAAACCACCAGAACCTCCGATCGAATCCAGAGTTTCTCTGATGCTCTGTTAAACTGAGTGTGTGTGTGTTCATGTAACAAAACTCTTTGCATGGCTTTAATTAATGGTACTAACCCTGGTTTAGACGGTCAGAGGAGCTGAATTCAAGCGGACTCATCATGTGGTTCGTAAAGCGACTCCTAATGACATGGATGTGGATCCCACCTGCAAGTACGCCGCCGTGGGCTGTCAGGACCGCAGCATCCGGTGAGGAGATACGGGTGTTGGTTTGAGACTGTGATGGCTTGAGTTGAGATGGTTTGATGATGTTGGTGTGTGTCTGTGGTTCTCTAGAGTGATCAACATCAGCAGCGGCAAACAGAAGAGATCCTTCAGTGGCTCTCAGACTGAAGACGGCAGTTTGCTGAAGGTCCGATCACTGACACACAGCTCAACCAGCGCTCACCGTGATTCAAACAAACACCCGACGTGTAGAAGCCGTTCACACAAAGAACAATAACTATAATAACGATATCAGCGTCCACACATCAGTCTGTTTATTATAAGCACTCGCTGCAGTTTTAAATACACAAGCTCTTTAAAATCAGATGGATTCTGATTGGATGTTAATGTTTCTTTCTGATAGTGATTCCAAGGATATTTTTCTTCTGTGTTGTTATCGTTATAGTTGTGTGCACTTACTATTCTCTTAGTGATTATTAAACGTGAACTGCCTTTTTTTTTTTCTTTTTTTTTTTGTACTGTTCTCTGAGGTCCACTTATAATGTTATCAAGATTTTTTTTAATCAAAAAACATCTCTGGAAAAAAAGCTCTGTTTGAGTAGGCGTGGTGGATTGTAGACTCTGAAGTAAACGCCCACTGCTGTGATTGGCTAACAGCTGTGTATGATTGACAGCGTACATCCTTCACAGATGGACGCTGCTGTGATTTAGGTCAAAAACGCATAAATACTCGGTACATATCAAACGATCTGTAATAACAGAAAAAGCAAGAGTGAGCACATAATAACAGTTCCTCACACTTGTGTGAATGTGTGAATCGGTGGGTGGGGCTAAACAGGCGGCACTGTAGAATCGGTGGGTGGGGCTAAACAGGCGGCGCTGTAGAATCGGTGGGCGGGGCTAAACAGGTGGTGACGTCGAAGCAGGCTTTGATCATCTTCTGTGGAGGCGGGGTTTAGCCACACTATTACGCCATAAAGAGGCACATTCCACAACACGTTTTGGTTCCACACTCGTTTTGGCAGATTGGCTTCAGTATAAGCTGTTTTTAGACTAACAAGAATGTTTTGATTTCTGAAACTTACAGGATGTTTTTATGGTACAATGACCTCTTATGTCAAAAGATCAAGGGAATTTTGATTACTCCGTTCATGACCCCTTTAAAATTTTATGGTTAAAGTTATTGTCAACATTATTGTTTTTGGTGTGAATGAGACTTAAAGAGTAAGTTCACAGATTTTCAACCAGCTTTGTATTGTTACAATGTTGGTAGTATCAGGGATATTATTGTTAACTAAAACTAAAAACATTAACGTTTTCATTACTTGAAATAAAATGAACATTAACTAAAATAAAGTATATATTAAAAACTTTTTCAGCTAGTTTCAGAGGCAACATTTCTCATTTTCATTGAAGTTTGTTTCAAAAATGTGTAAAATGCTTTAAATCAGGGGTGTCCAAACTTTTCCTAAAGGGGGCCAGATTCGACGTACTGAATTGTTGTCGCACAATGTTTTTCCTATTTTCGCGTTAGTGTTGTTGAGAATGTCAGCGTGGTTTCATCTGCCTTTGACATCTGCGGTTTGTATGGAAACCTCTGCTCCAAACTCAAACGCTCCTCACAGCGCTGTTTAGTGGTCTCGTGATCGAGATCAGTCAGCGAGTAAACGCATTTGTTCGGAGCTCGCGCTGCGCTGTCTTTAGGCAGAGCTAAAAACGGTCCGTGCAGCGCGGTTCAAACGAGTCGCGCTCTTCCGCTTTTGACGCGTTTTGGAATTCGCGTGCGCTAAAGAAATGAGAGCGCATATGAGTTATCAAATTGATATCACTCGCGTTTTACTGCTACATCTGGTCTAAAATGTAGTGCTGCCATCTTGTGTTGATTTTATTTTTATATTTTCTGCTTTCATGTTAATTTTAGTTAAAAATTTAGTAATTTTGTTGTGATTGTCCTTTTTATTGGTTTTTGTTGTTTTTAAATATGTCTAACATAGGGCTGGACGATATGGCCAAAATTGATATCACGATATATTTCTTAATTTCGGTCGATACGATATAATT